TGGCAATGAGAGAGTTCAAATCGTTGACGTTTGTCCCAAAAAACTAAACCAAGCGAACCTGCCCTTTTTTCAGAGGGCTTCTCTATTATTTTACTCACCCAAAACAATATATATGGGTAGGGAACCTTTTCTTCGCTGATTTGCCTAAAAAAAATATAAAATATATATTTTGGTATAAATAATTTGTACGACAGTACTCCACAATCCATACTACGCATGACAATAGAGAGTTCATGATGCATGTGCCATAATATGATATCTAGACTTAGATAGAAATATAATCATGAATTCCCCCCTATTATTGTTGTGGATTCCCTTTTATTCGAAGTGTAAGTAGATTGGATTTCGCTAAAAGGAAAAAAAATTATCAAAGGTGGAAGTATCCCTTTTTTTAAGGGGATTGGATTTGTGGAATTAAGAGGGCAGTATAGACAGATAATGAAAAGATCATGATTAATTGCACAAAGATATAAAGTTTAAATTGTCTTGTACATTACATGAGCAAATATTTTTTTTTTTGGGTAAACAATACATGTGCAAATTATCATAAGAGAAAAGAAAGGAGATGTTGATAGCCTCGCGAAATTAACTTCCTGAGGCTTGCTTTGTTTTCCATTATGCTCTCATCTCTTATCTCATTTCTCTCTTCCACTTATTTCTTGAGATACCAAGGTTTGGGTATCTCAAAAACCTTGTCTAATAAGTGGACCAGTGATTTGGACCGCTCGGTTTTAGCATACCAAATAAAAGATTTGTTACTCCATTGACGATTAATGAATGATAAACTTATGTTTATCTAATATTTAAGACATAGAAATACTCTTACATGGCATATTGAATAAAAGTAATAAAAAATAATTTGAAGAGAAAATACCATAAAATTAACCAAAATATTTATAGGGGTATTTCAATCAAATGTTTTGTTTACAATATTTTTTATTTTGTTTAGTGTGCCATATAAAAATGAATAGATTCCCCAAAGTTCAAATAAGCATAATGTTTAAATAAAATAAAAAAAATAAATTAAATAGAAGTTTGTGGGGTGGGGATTTAGGACGGACTAAAAAAAATATTAGATAAACTTAAAAAAAAAATGGAAATGGAGTTTTAGAGAGGGGATTGGACCTCGACCCATACATTCATATAAATGATTTGGTCCATGCCAATTGTAATCCCAAATCCCAAATCCCATTCCCGATTCGAGTAGCCCTTTTATCAAAGGATGATGCGGTTTGTATGGCTCTAAACAATCAAAATAAAGCGCACATTTTGTTGAAAAATGTGGTTACAATACTGGAAATCTTTGTAATAGCCTTAAAATATATTTTCATATGTGATTATAAAATTTAAAGCTTTAAAAATAGTGTGGATCAAGTATATCTATGAAAATTGATGGTCCAAAAATGCATTACTAGATGCACTATTTTTAAAACTTGAAAGACTAATTTAATTGTTTAGTGCCTCACACTTATATAAAGATTTTCCTTTATCAAAAGACTAATTTAGTAGTTTCGGTGTTAAGCACCAAAAATATGGGAAACTTGAAAATCTTTCCAGGGATTTGGGGGAACGGCAAGAAACATTTCCAAAAAATCTGAGATTTATTTCCTTTATTTTACTTGAAAAAAGAGTGTTATTTTCATTATTTTCGCCCCCAAGAAAATTCAAAATAACGCTCCCCTATAAATGTTTCACCACTCTAGTATTTAATTATTTACAGTCTCAAATAAGAGTGCGTAAAGCTAGCTGCCGAGAGAGCATACTGTACACTTACACACGAACAAATTATCAATTTTATTTCGTGACATCTTTCTCCCTCTCTCCGTCTCTCTCCTCTGAACACTCTTCTCTCTCTCTCTCTCTCGCCTTCTCTCTCTCTCTCTCTCTCTCTCTCGATTCTTCTAATCTCTCTCTCTCGAAATTAGAGGTTCGAGATCTTTGTCCCCCAGTCTACATACGAATTGTTGAATCTCAGTTTCAGCAGAAATGGCTAGAAACTCTAGGGCTTTGTATTTGATCTTCTTTTGCTTATTTTCTTTGTCGAATTTGTCCACTTCCTTTGCTTACAGGCCTGGAGATATCGTGCCCATGAACAAAATGAGCCAGTACCACGCCGTAAGATTCTTCTGCTTGGTTTCTTTCCTTTATTTTGCTTTTCTAGCTCTATTCATTTGATTTTTTTCCTTTTATTGGTGAATTTCAGATGAGAACTACTTGGCATGATGTGATCGGTCGCCATTGCCCGATCTTTGCAGTAAATCGAGAGGTTCTTTCTCTCTCTTTGTCTCTATCTCTGTCTATTTCTCTCTTCTCTTGAATTGGTAATAAGGGATTTTAAGCTTTCTGATATCCGACTTAGCAAAAAAAAGCTTTTCCGATTTCTTTTGGGTCATTCTTTTCCATGTATTTTACGTTCAGGCAGGCTTCCGTTGATGCCATCCCCTATATATGGTTCGTTATTGAGAATTCCAAAAATTTGAAGAATTTCGGCATTCCCATTTATGTTTTTCATTTTGAGTTTCCTTATGTTTTCATGGTATCTTTTTTATTTATAAATGTATTTTTATGGTAATTTTTGCGCAGGTTCTGCTTCCCATTGCTAAACCTACAGGTTACACTGGCGCTGACCCTTATAAATTGTAAGTGAAATTTTGTCTTTTCTGTTTTTTTTCTTCTTTTTTTTCCTGAGTTTGGTGTTGGGGCTGAAATTTTTGCAATTTTGAGACTGTAATTCTGTTGTGTTTCCGCTGTGTGAATAACATGCATGATGTTATGTCCCATAATGGGAGAGCCTAGAACTATGCTAATTACTGAGTTTAACAAAAAATATTTGTTAAATCATTTATAGATGGCATTCTCATTTTTTTTTATGACTAAATTTTTTCTTTTATAATTATTTAAATTTGAAGCTCCCATTAGTTTGTTTTTCTTGAGCAAAACAAAGTATTGTCATCGCTATATCTTGATGATTATTATGTGTATTTCTCATCTAATTTTGAATATCATTTACCTCTTGATGGTTGTATGCATCAAATATATATCACCATTATAATTGTTGTTTTCCAATATTTCCTTTTTTTGTTTACCCAATTTGTTTTGGAAAAAATGGTTGTGTTTCAATGTGCGTGTGCTCATATTTTATTCTCTGTTGAAGTTAACTTCCATGAATTATGATATCTTATGTAGATCATTTCAAATTGGCAACGAGAAATTTCTTATCCCATGGCTATTTGTGATTAATCGTAAAAGTTCGGAGGTTCCAATGATCGATATGCATTTGGTAAGTGCAGTTTCAACAAGCAGCATCTATCTGAATATGATAAGTGTCATGAACTTGGTTTTATGAATATTTCATCGCATGATCATCATATTAAGGAATGCAATATATGATGTGAATGATATAGATAGCTTCATGTATATATTCCTTGAATTTGGGTTTGTTGATGGATTGAAGTCCTAATTTTGGAGTTGGTTTGTATATAGGGGTACTCAGGCAGTGATATACAGGGCGTCACAACCAATGTCATAGACATGCCTCACCATTGTATGTGGAAATTAAACCTGTATTTTTGTCTCTCTCTCTCTTGCTTTCATTCTGTTCATTATATTCATTTTTGGATTCACATCTATATGTGTATTGATTTTTTCCTTCTTTTAGCATGCTTCCTTGTTACAATTTATTAAAGTGCCTTGTTTGATTGATCAATAAATGATGTATCTTTGAATTGAGCAGATGTTGAAGTTCATCCAAATATACGGAAGGAATTCTGGGACCCACAACATTGGCCAAAACATATTCTTGTCAGATATACTTGGTGTGTATCACTGGCATTGTTTTTATGTATAGGATGACTTGCCTTTAGATCTATCTTTATTTAACTCTTGTATTGCTAGGAGGCACTCGATGAACTGTAAAGCATCATCAACTGTGGGTTTGTGGATGCATATGGATTCTTTTAAAATTATTCCTTATGGTCGTGTTAGTCATTCGCAGTTTCACAGATCAATACTTGGGAGCAGCACTTATATTAGTGCAAACAAGGAAAAATAAAGCAAAGGCAAAGCAGCTATATTATTTAGGGAAAAAATAATAAGCCTATCTTGTGCAAGACATTTTTCATTTTTGGCGGATGTTGCCATTTAATTATTTTATGCAGAAAAAAATGATCTTAATAACCTATACAACTATGCCATTAGTGCAAGAATGAGTATATCTTAGGAAATATCAGTTTCCCTCAATAACTGGCTTTGCAGACGTCATAAAAGTTTTTGGCTCATTTGTTTCTCTAGTTTATTTCTAACTTTAGATCTGTTTGTTCTTGTATGCAAGGCTTTAGTTTAGAGCCATGAATATTTGCTTGTAGTTTGTCTTCTTTATACCTAACTTTTATGTATTTTAAAAAATGTTAGAGGAAATATACTTTAATGGTGTCAATTTCATTTGTCAATGGTATTTGGAAAAGACAGCAGATAATACAATAGTGCGCTGAAAGCTATAATTAGTAAAATAACTTAAAAATGGAAATCTGGGCTTCCCATGAGTAAGGTTGCTCCACTTTGACCAAAAGTTTTCAGTTGTTAGCAAGTTCTATTATAGGACCTTATCAAATAATCATAGCAATGTTTTTTTTTTTCAATGAATCATGGCATATTTTTTGTAAAGAAGAGGAAGACAAAAAGGTATTAAACTATGGATTATACTTTTCTTGATTCTCCTTTTTGAGGGTTTTGTTATAAAGAGAGCAACATCTTTTTGGGGGCATAATTTTACTCCCATAGAGAATAACCATCTCTTAAACCATGGGGAGAACAGTGGAGCCAAAAAGAATTGAAAGAGAATCACCATGTTCGTTTTTTTCTTTTCTCATTCTAGAAAAAAACAATTTTTTGGGGGCCAAAAGTGAGGGCTTTGCTTGAGGATTAAAAAGATACTAGTTATTTTCATTCTTTCTGCTTGCATCCTTTCAATGAAGACAGTTTTCATTGATGATTTAAAAGAGGAGAGAAGAAAAACATCAGGTGGCTAGCTGGGATCAGTTATTGATTAATAAACATCATGGATAGGGAAATTATTCTCTGGCTTGTGGTCCAAAATCATACCTATTGCATTGCAAGATTTAGTGGAATCAGTTCGAGGGTTTTTCAATTGAGAGAGTTTTTATTGTTTGGATGAAGTTAAAGTTATGGAAATAACATGTATATCCATATTTATTTGGGGATGGAAATGGTTTTCAGAGAAGAAAAAATTTCTGTTAGAACTTCTATTTCTTTGATGAACCTAGGGCAGTACAACGTTTTGATGACTATTTGATGCATTTCTGCATTGCAGGATGCTTCAAACTTTAAGTTGTTGATTGTTCTCAATAAGAGGAGTTCTTTCTTCCTTATTTATTTTTATTTCTTGGTTGTTTTATTTTATAAGCTTCTCTTGTTATATAGATAGTAACTAGATAAATTCCCAGTTTTTAGTCATTAGATATGTGGTGTCTTGTTTTGTTCTTTTCTAATGTCAAAGCTGCAAGATTGATTGCTCTATTTTGACAGGGAGGAGAGATCAGAAATAGATGTTCAAGGAGGATTTTATGCACTTTTCGGATATGGTAAGTTTGTCATGTATCACAACTATTCTAGGAAGGGTTGTCTTTGTCCAATTTCTGTTTAGAAGATTCTGTTGTTGTGTGTTATCAGATGCCTTTTATATGTGATGAAGAAAATTGGGGAACTTACCTGGTTCTAATTCACTTGTTGCAAGAAAGATGGTTTCTATTATTAACAATAAAAAATAAGATGGTTTCTCTTATTTCTCCCCTTGAATGATCAAAGTGTTTTTTGTATCATTCAGAATTGTTTAAATTATTCTCAGAAATTTTCAGGACATAATCTCTCTATGGTTTGGACATGGATAGAAGTAGTGATAAAAAATATAGTGACTTGGGGTCTAATTGAGGGTATAGTTCTTGATAGAGCAGAATCCCGGTAGGGATTTGTGTAGCCGAGCCCCAATAGTTGGTAAGGCTTGGATGATATTGATGATGAAATCTCTCAATGGTCTATTTTTTCAGACCTTTAAGAGTTCATTTTAGGATCTCCAGTACTTGTAAATGAGACAAATTGCTTACTTTTTTGGGAAATGATATACTTTGCAACATTTGAGTTTTGCTTGCTGGTTAATAAGTTAAAAGGTTTACTCATAAATAAACCAAAATATCTCAAAACATTTCAGGCTCAATAGGGGGCCATAGGATGGTTCAGATATATCCTTTGTTTTGTCTTTCCAGCAGCTACATGGATGTGATGGTTTTTATCGATAGAATAATGCTACAACTGGCCAACATTTTCTTTGCATTTTCAAAGCATGGATTTGAAAAATTGGTTAGACAATACTAATCTTGCTTGAAGTTCCAACCTTTCAAAATTCTGGTATCTAGAAATTGCCAAATGCCTTGTGCTTCTCGATCTTCACTCTCTTCCTTCAATTCTTCATTTTGTCATCTCTTTTTGTGCACACAAGGAGCTTTCCAATTTTGCGTTATATTCTCGAGGTTTTCACTAATTCATACATAATTTATACAAAGGAGTATTAGTTTCTTACTCATTTTCTGGCTCCATGTGATAAATAGGGGTCGTTGTATCATTCATCCTAGCAATCTACATCTTACAGTCCTCTCAAGACAAGCTGGCAAGGTATGTTGTTCTAATTTTGCTCGTATCTAAGAATCAAATCTTGTGGCCTCATGCATGTGTACACAGGGGGAGAGAGTGCGAAGGAGGGAGGGAGGGAGAGAGAGAGAGAGAGGATGTTTTAGTCCCCAATGGGTTGATGTCATATGCAAGGTTTTGCCAATTATTAACAGAGTCTGGTGCAGATCCATTGGAGGGAACTAGCTGCATGTATAGCTGTGTGTGTGTGTGTGTGTGTGTGTGTGTGAGAGAGAGAGAGAGAGAGAGAGAGAGAGAGAGAGAGAGAGAGAGATG